AACATTTCCTTAAACCCCCTGTTGTCATCCTGTATTTCACCAGCCTCAGTGCTCCACAGCTGACAATGCAACACGTTCTCATCCGACAATGGGTTCCAGCATCACTGTTAGTCCTTTTGTGTGTTCTTATCGTGAGAAACATGACAGCGGAAGAGTGTGGGTGAAATACTGGCCAGAATTTGACTTGAGTTGGTTGATATCGTTTAAATGTGGATGTGGAATGGACTTGCACTTACATAGCACCTTCCCAAGGTGCTTTCAACTTAAGGCATTCACACACACATTCATACAGTGCTTTTATCTATACCTTGGAACTTTGAGTAACATTCATACACACACGATGGATGGTTTGGGGACAACTGGAGGGTCAGTATTTTGCTCACAAATACTTTGACTCATGGGCAGGAAGAGCCAACGATTAGATTGGTAGATGACATGCTCCACCATCTTCCCCAAATGAAAAGTTATTTACCAAATAGTTATGGGTCACACAGACCACTGCTGTTTTTGAAAAAGTGGTACTCTTAAGTAATTAAATTACATTTCAGAATTGTGAGAAATGCTGCACTCCTCTGTATACATAATTTGATTTTTGTTTTCTATAAAATCTTTTCAACTTGTGGTCACTGCCTGTTGATATAAGGGCAGTTTAACCTTGTCTTACAGAGCCCCAAAACTCTTGAATTTCAGGGACTAATTCTTGGGTTAATGCAGCCCTCTTCTGGCATGCCATTCTCATTACATATAGACAATGAGAACATAAATCAAATGCAACAATCATTAAATTATACATTATTATTGTTATACGCATTATGTATGCACAAACAACAAAGTCATTACTGTTTAAATAAACTATATATTTTTCCCAAACAGTAAATTGGTGAGTGGATTCCTCCCACGGTTTGCAATCAACAGTTGCTGAGGAACATACAACACATTTATGCATGTAGCTTATTTGTCTGGTTTTTTTAAAGCAGTTCCTTCAGATAAATGTAAGCATATTTATTTTCATTAGTGATAAAAGGATTTACAATCCTAAATTATTAATCGTTATTATTATTAGTAGTAGTAGTATTACTAGTTTCTCTCAATCCTAATCAAACTTTAAATGGCAACATTATAAAAGTTTCTTGTTTTAAAATGTCCTTAGAAACAGTTTAATGTTTTCATCAACTGTTCTCTCAAATCTCCTCTAAGATTAAGGCCATTTTCTGTGGAGAAATAGCCTAATTTCTTATATTGCACAAATGGTAAGGCAAGACAAATTCACATGTAACAATTTGCTAATTGCACTACTAAAAATATGTGTATCCCAGAAGCTTACCTGTTAAATCTAAGAAAAGACTGCTAGTGTTAGAAGCCTGCTTGTTTTGATGCTTTATAACATTTTTTCATATTGATACTCAATGACTAAAAAGTGAGCGTTCAATAAGGAGAGAGTTCATTAGAAGGAACTGAACATGATTTATAAATATACAAAATTCAATTATGCTATTTGGCAATTAGACTCTGATGGCCCATCACAGAAGAATGAAATCCCAGGGGTGACCCCCCAGAGCTTAGATGGTGGTGGTGGTGGTAAAGACAAGATGGAGGCTTGGGTGGAGTGTCTTGTGTGAGACAGTGATGGGAAGGAAGTGGTTTGCATGAAGGAGACTGCAAGAGCGAATGAAAGATGAGCAGGGCGATTAAAGTACGCAGAGTGGAGGCTGACTGAATTGAAGAAAGCAGGCAGCAAGATGATTGGACTACAGTGATGATGTTGGCATTTGTTTTACAGTGGGGGAAAGTGATGTGAAAGAAAAGACTAGCAGCCAAAAACCTGGGAAAATGGGCTGATCAGTGAATACAGATGTTCTTTACTGAACTTATTATTGAAAAGGGTGGGCAGTGACATGGACAGCCAAGCTTGTCAATTTCATTTGTTAAATTCATACCATAGGTGCATCTACTAAAAATCTTGGATAAGTAAGAATTTTGTTGACCTTAACAACAAGGTCAAAGGTCAAGTTTTCTGATAATCTTTTGAATGCAACATCTCACGAAGTAAATGATATAGGATTTTGAAACTGATTCCAAAGGTGTATCTACTAAAAATCCCAAACTCAAGATCAGAAATGTACTTTTCTGAAAATCACCTATGGTTTTCAGATTTACACCATGGGTAGGGATGGGAATCGAGAACTGATTTTTATAGAGAACCAATCCTTTGGAATATTTAGTCTGATCACTGCTTATGCTTTCCATTTGCACTTGAGCTTTGATCTGCTGATTTCAGTTGCTGTGGCAGAGGAGGAAAGTAGTGGTGTAGAGCGTGAATATGAATATTACTTTTATTTTTTGGCAAAAAAGGAGGAGAGCACAATGATGAAAGGCAAACTGTATGCAGGAGAGAAACAGTTACATTATGCTACCAACACAAGTTTGGCACAGACAGCATGCTAACACTAAGCTAAGCCCCTGCCCAGCAGCCAGACCCTGAATTTCAACAAGTAACAAGCTAATGATCAGCAACCATTTCTATTTCTGTTTATGTTTCTACAGTAGGATCAATGTGATGATTGCTTTGAAGTCTCTTTCTGCTGGTCTTCATCTTTGCTTGGTGCTGTCAGCTTTGTGGTCATACCTAAATACTAAAAGAAAGATAATAAGCTTTTGACATTTGAAATATTTTTAAGCATTTTTGGCAAAATCTTCAAATTTTCAGCATTCAAAATGCATTTTTGCTCGTTAGCAGTAGCGGTTTTAGATACACAGGCAGTTGCCCGGGGCGGCATCGTGGTGGGGGGCAGCATCACGGGCATCGGCAAAAAAAAAAAAAATTCTCTGGCTGGCTGGAGCAGCATCTAATAATAATCAACTCGCAAAATAAAACAAAATAAAAACAAACCAACAAACACGAAAACACCAGACATTATGATACAGACTTATAAATTGCACCGATGTTTTTTTGTAATTCTGTACACGAAAAATGAGCGCGAGAGCCTTCGGTGCGCCTGCTTGCTGCTGAAGTCAAAGTAAACTTTATTGTCATCTCCACTACATACAGTCTAGTATATAGAGAGACGAGACAACGAGGCTCCAGTTACAGCAGTGCAAGTAAACAAACAATATATATAAGAAGAGTAAGAAAATAAATATACACTTTAGGACTGGGGGTAAAGGGATCAATAACAATTTAAAATTTATAATTTTCAGTTTGATGATTTAAAGTCTCACACACAACCCGTCGAAAGGGGAGGGAGACCCGCTGCTTCCAAATAGAGCACATTTCATTTATAATGTTGTAAATCCAAGCCCATTATGTATTCATGATTTGAATCCTGGGTTGTGTGAAATCCCAGAAATAAACCCTAGACAAAGTGAATCTGTGAACTAAGGTGTAGGTCTATTAGGTCATGTTGTGGTGATCCTTGAGTTGATGGATGGGTGGTCATACTGGAGTGCAAAATTAAAACCAATGGAAGATGGACAAGAAAAGTTCAAAGCCATCAGGTGCTCAGTTTAGAAAAAAGAGAAAAGAAGAGGAGGAGAAACGAGCAACAGATACAGGTAAGCAGATGTGTCATTGGATAATGGCAGGTCATCCTGAAACAATCAGAATCAGAATACTTTATTAATCCCTAAGGAAATTATGTGCATTACAGTTGCTCCAAGAAGACATGGTAAAAATAGCAACAGTAACAGACTGTTGATTTGTCCTGTTCTCATTGTATGACAAATTATGATGGCTGTTTGGTAGCCGTTTGCATACTATGCATACTCTCTCTCTCTTCACGTGTGTGTGTGTACAACAGTTTCATGTTAATGTACAATCCTTAATATGTTTTGTGTGTGTGTGTGTGTGTGTGTGTGTGTGTTTCAGCTGTTTTACAGAGCAATACGAAAGTAATGTAACAAGTACTATAATAAATAACTTTCTCTTTGAAGTAGTTAAAAAGTAACGTATTGCATTACTTTTATGAGAAGTGTTTTGTACAAAAATAATAATAATATTTTCTTTTGTTCTTTGAGGAACACCGATCTCCAACATGCACAAACATTTCACAAAACAGCATGCAATTAATTTGCACAAATTTAATGTCTTTTGACTTTTGTAATGTCAGAATTGCTAAAATCCTATCAATTCTCCATCTCTAACCAAGTGCATCTACTAGAAGGCTAAGGGGAAGCACTTGCAGTCACCAGTATTTTATATGACATACATAAAGTAAAAGCTCAGGATAATGTCCTGTAAAAATACTTTTTTACAACATCTTTTTAGTTTTGTGTTGACTGTTGGAGTTTAAGAAAAGGAGTGTATGGATATGACCCATTTTCCAGAACAGATAAGACTGTAAGTTGTGGAGCTTGGTGTGTAGTGTGACTTGTAAATAAAAACAATTTTGTACACAACCTGTTGAACCCAGTTCTTTTTATTCTTCTACTGGACAGAGAAGACGCAGACTCAAAGTATTTATAATCATTTTATGATTCTTTACTTCTTCTTTACCTCTGCCCTTACTTGATGTGTGTGTGTGTGTGTGTGTGTGTGTGTGTGTGTGTGTGTGTGTGTGTGTGTGTGTGTGTGTGTGTGTGTGTGTGTGTGTGTGTGTGTGTTGCTTAGTTCCGCTTTTCTGTCTGTACATGTGTTTTCTGTTCTTAATATACTGCCTCTGCAGCTCTGCACAAGACTTCCTGTTCTGCACAGTTCCAGTCTGGCTGAGCAATTGGTTTGTGAGTCAAAGCTGGCCTTCCTTTATACAGGCCTTTATTATAAAATACATAAAACAAAATACACAGAAAATAAGCACTAGAAAAGATATATATTCCCTAATAAACCAGTGATTTCACAGCTTTTCATGTACTTCTACCTCTCTCACCATCAGACCTATAAGAGTTCAAGTTTGCTTTGGAAATCATGGATACAGCTAATGAGTGACCATTAGTGTGATCAACATGAAGTCTCCATCCTAAACACAAGCAGAGTCTGAGAGTTACACTTCCACAAGAAGAGCCCATTTACAACTATTAAATTTATTTGGACATTTAGAACAATAAAATAAATGCTACATTACAGTAGAGTGAGAGCAGGTATATCCATTGAGGTTGAGCTGCAGGTGTGATACACAGAGAATTAAAAAACAATATTGTGTAAATGGATTGTTGTCTGCTACTTTGCTCCTTCATTTGAAAGTACATCAAAGCCTGTGGTCCTCTACCTGTAGTAGAGTAGTTTGTAAACAGTAGTTTGCAAGGGAAACACATTTGTACTTGTTTCTTGGTAGCTCCTGTTGTTTTTTCCTGGATTCTGGTAGTAGCTAGGGATACATTCATGACTATGGCTAACAGCCAGTCTTAACAATCCCAGTTTGATCTATAATCTACTATCCTTGGATATCGGCTCTGAAAATAATAGGTCTAGTAATAAGATGACACATCTTTGATAAAGAAGTTCAATACAGCAACCCTTTGTTTGTGTTAGTTGGCTTGACAAAACCTAAGCCCCAGTTAAAGATTTCATACCTGTTCATTGAGGTGTCAAAAGTAGAGACAGTTTGTACTTTAGTAGAAGTACAGATACCAGTGTTAAAGAATGCTGCAATAAAAGTTGAAGTACTGATTCAACTCCTTTACTCAAGTAAAAGTAAAAAAGTACAGGTTGTGAAATATACTTCACACTACTTCCACTACAGTGACAACATTACTACATAAAAGTAGCTTCTTGAAGACAATTTCGACCACCTATTTTTATGCAGAGCCAACTGAACCTTGTGCTATATCAATGTTCACGTGTTTAAAGTTCACATGGTGATTTAGGCTCTTGCTTGACACAGAACACTCTGACTTTAATCTCAAAATAGCTCCTTAACGCATTAATTGTTTTGTAGTACACAAACCTGGTAATTGTCATAATCTTTATTTTGATAAATATAAAGTTCACAAATCTACAAATCACATTCACCACACCACTAATAATTATTATTTGCAGTAGTTTTTCCTTCTTCTGATATTAAAAGGAAAAAATGCAGAGTAAAAGAGATGGCATTTACAAATCACAAGAAGCATATTAAGCCTAAGATTCTAGTACTTGGTTGAATAAATAATGGTTTTATTAATTTCATTATAGAGGCATACAGATCTTTTAATCAATGCACTAATTAATCAATGAAAAGAAGAAAAACAACTTATTTTTATTAAGACAGTAGTATGTAAATATTTTGCTAGACTAGTATGCTGTTTCTCATTTAAAGTCCACCTTCCAAACTATTCACCTGATACTGTATGATTATGACAGAATCAATCACTTGTCTGCTGCATCAAGATCATTTCAGTTCAACTCACATCATTAAATATGCACATCTTCTCTTTCACCATTTAACTCAATAATATGTTTGGATATTAATTCGCATCTTGCAATGCATATTGTAAATTAATATGTATGTTTTTTATAGTTTTTTTTAATGCCACAATAGCAACGAAAACAAGTGCACTAACAAGCTAATGTGTTACTCACAAGTAACTGCCAATACGTTGCCAAAAAGTATTAGATATTTTGCACCATAAATTTGTGTCTGGAAAATACTATAAGATATATATATATTAATCTTTTACACTCAGCACACATCTGAGCACCAAATTACTTCATCTTGGTAAATTTCATAATGCTAGCTTCTTATATCTTTTGTTTTTCCTTTGGTCGGCACACCCGGTTTTATAGCACAGTAAAAACTTTTGGTGAAGTCACTGGAGTGAACTTGAGTGGTGCCTACATGTTGATCATGATTTGTGCCACAGTCAACAGTGTTAGCGCCCATATGCCAATTGTAGACTGAAGACTGGTTGATGATGACACTCCTGGAATATTGAAAAAAAAAAAAAAGGTACCTCCATAAAATTCTCTGGACTTATAAACTTGAGTTCTCATCTTGCTTTTATGTGTAACACTGACAGCACAATTATACAACATTATATAGGGTAGTTTACATTAATAAATTCAAACTGCAGAATATGTGGCCAGAAACTTACTTATACTGCCTTCTATGATGCCCAGTGTGGTATTTTGGAGTGCTTGTGTCAGCGCTGTAGTTGCATTAGTTAGTGATGGAACCGAGCTTTGATTTTGGAACACAAGAGTCATGTCGACAACTACTGATCCATTCCTAGAATGACAAAGACAGAAGCAATACTTCTTAAAAGCAGTTGAAGGACAGATATCTAAGAAAAACATAAGTCATGGACAGAAATTTAGCCTTACTTAAAGCTGTTAACCCTGGAGCGTAGGAATGATCCAAAGACATTTTTAACCAGTCTGTTTATCTGAAAGAGAACATTATTGTGAAGTGTTTACAAGTGTTTAATGAAGGTTAAAGGAAGAAATGAAAGTCTCTTAAATCATATATAGTTCCAAGAATATATACATTTTACATTATTATGCTAGCCGACATTTAGGTTTGTTTGTTAGCACATAGTATTGGTGTCTTACCTCATTGGTCACTTTTTGAGCTAAAGCCTGAAAAGCTGATGAACTTGAGTTTGCGAGGTCTGCTGTAAAAGTTTGGCTGAGACTGAATATCAGACCAAGGGCTCCTTGACTTGCAGTAGGAGGATCTGTTGATGCAGTGCTGGTAGTTGTTGTGGGTAATGTTGTCACTGTAGTGGAAGTGGTTGTTGTATTTGGAGACACAGTTGTAGCTGCAGTTGTATTGGAAACCACTGCTGTAGCTGCAGTTGTTGCAGCTGTAGTAATGTTAGAAGCAGTGGTTGGGGTTGTTGTAATATTGAGCTCAGCTGCGGAAGCAAAGAAAGTGGAAACTGTAACTGTACCAGTGATTTATCAATAAAGAATTACTAATTTATTTTAGATAAAGAATTAAATAAGTTTGGTTAAATACTTACTTGCATTAAGACTGCCTGGTATAATGTTCAGGGAAGAAGAGTTAATATTTGCAGCGAGTTCTGTGGTTAAATTGTTTACTGTAGGAACTGAGGCTTTGTCTTGGAATACAAGAGTCATATCGGTAACCACTGATCCTGACCTTTATTGGTAAAGAGAGAAAGAAATACTTTTATGGCAGGAAGTGACTAGTAAATATCTGGAAAAACTACATTATCAAATTTTGGCCTTACCGGAATGATTTAACAAAGGAACGAAGGAAGGATGATCCATAGACACGTTTACATGCAGCATTTACCTGAAAGATAAAATGTAGTTTTATACTTTTACAGCAGATGCACATGCCATTGCCTGTATGAATCTGAGGCTTTCATAAATATCATCTTGCAAATCAAATGGATTTACAAAACTAAACAGGACTTAGAAGATTTAATAACCAAACTAAATATGAATAAATGAATGTAAAGAAGAAGAAGAAGAAGACCAGGGAAAGAGGCATTTCAGTATTTTAACCATTGCCAATTTACAGTGAGTTTTATGTAGGCCAACAGAATATCAGCACTGTTGCCGTCTTACCTCATTGGTCACTTTTTGAGCTAAAGCCTGAAAAGCTGATGAACTTGAGTTTGCGAGGTCTGCTGTAAAAGTTTGGCTGAGACTGAATATCAGACCAAGGGCTCCTTGACTTGCAGTAGGAGGATCTGTTGATGCAGTGCTGGTAGTTGTTGTGGGTAATGTTGTCACTGTAGTGGAAGTGGTTGTTGTATTTGGAGACACAGTTGTAGCTGCAGTTGTATTGGAACCCACTGTTGTGGCTGCAGTTGTATTAGAGCCCAAAGTTGTCGCTGCATTTGAGGTAGCATTCGTGGCATTGGCAGTAGCTGAGGCAATAGATATAGTTGGAACAAATGTCAGTTACAATATATTATTTTTACAAATGGAGAATTAAAGAATTTCATGAACATGCCACAGATAGGACATTCACTTTTAGTATAAACTGGTACATACTGTATTTTATTAAAGAAAACACGTTTCCTCATAGTCATGGATTGATTTAACAGACACTGATTTTCCTGGTGATAGAGGTTAAAGGTGAGGCTCCTCTTCACTTGTGTGGTTAGACTGAGTGTTGATGAGTTTATGCTGACTGCAAATGAGTTTGGGATAAGTGGTGTTGAAGTCATGTTTACCTGTAGTGAAGTTGTGCTGAGTGGGGTGAGAGCATGCTGACTGGTGCTGTTGGTGAGCATTATAGTGAGGTGATTTGGTGTGGTCAGGTTAAGTGGTGTTAAAGGTGTGTTGACTTGTGGTGAGGTTGTAGAGGCTACTGGTAAGGTCATGCTGAATGGTGCCATTGGTGCTAATGGTACTATGGTCACCTTAATTGGTGTAACTGGGTTAACTGCTGTTCAAGTCATGTTGACTTGTAGTGAGGTTGTACTGAGTGCCAATGGGCTTGTGCTGACTGGTGCTATTGATTTGGATGGTGCTGAGGGCATGTTATCTGGTGTGGCTGAGGTTGAGTTTAGGGATGGACCGATCCGATATTACGGTATCGGTCCGATACTGACCTAAATTACTGGATCGGATATCGGAGAGAAATAAAAAATGTAATCCGATCCATTAAATATCACAAAAGCACTTCACAAAACTTGCAACATGGCGTAACTCAGCTCATAACCTTAGCGTGTCGGAGCAGTATGTGTCACGTGATAGAGCGGCTGTGGCGTGCAAGACTTGCTGGCAGTCAGCATTTGGATCCTCGCTACCAAACCGGCATTTCATCTCCGAGAAAGTGATCCCAGAGAGAAGTAAAGCAAGTGTGTAAGTTCATCTCTGGATGTTTGTAAAGCATTCCCACGTTAAGCTTAACAACCGATATATGGAGCGACTGCCTCTTCTCTCACCCTCCCTCTCCTGTTACTACTTCAATCATGAAACTGATCAATGATCAGCTGATCGGCTTTTCTGTTGCGAGTCCCGTTTCTCTTGTTTATTTATCGCCAACTTTGCACCAGAAAGAGGAAACCAGCGGCTGAACAACAGCAGCACATTTAAGCTTGATAAGCTGTTCTTAGAATTTATTTAAGATTACTTTCTACACCAGGATCCTTTTCTACGTAGTTGACGGCTGGTAACTGTGCAGGGGCGGATCTAGCAAAGTTTAGCCAAGGGGGCCGATAGGGCATTAACAGGGAAAAGGGGGGCCCAAAGAATATGTTTCTTTTTTATTCTCATTTAAAATGTCTAGCTTTTAATAAACAATTATCTGAATCTTACAACCAAAGTTTTAATCAGAGGTAAAATGTATAGAAGTCATTACTGTATATAGTAACTATTAAGTCTAATACATACCCTAGTAAGCTATAGTACCTTTTCCATCTGTGCAGTCTGCAATTCTGTTGAAAAAAGATGCTGAATCTATTTAATTATTGTAGAAAAATAATTGATTTCTGTGCATTTTTTTTTACATGTGCATTAAATTAAGGTTGATTACGTCGATTATGCATCACGAGCCAGAGGATGGGGGGTAGTTCCCTATTTTTATTTTTTTTTTACTGGGAGTTTGCAACCCTATCAGTTAGGTTGTTTAATATTTCTGCTAAGTACTCTTTAAAATACCAGAATAGGGAGGATGGTGTAGGTTTAAGTTTATTAGCTCAGTATTGCTGAACCATGAAATATTTTGTGTGCAGTGTGTTTTTTACATACAGGTATAACAGAATAGCTTTAGTGTTTTGTTTTTAAAACATGAGTATGAACCTATACAAAATGCAGCAAGATATTAAAAAAACTGTTTTATTGATTAAAAAATAAACTATATTGGATTCCTATCGGTATCAGCAGGTATCCAAATTTATGATATCGGTATCGGTATTGGACATAAAAAAGTGGTATCGTGCCATCTCTAGTTGAGTTCAGTGGAATCAATATCACATTAAATGTTGTTAGCACAGAGGTGATGTTGAGTGGTGGTGAGGCTGGATAAAATGGTTATAAGAGTGAGGCTGTATGATGGTGTTACATGCTTGTGATAATCACATGTAAAAATTCATAGTTATTTCATGGTAATACCTGGTGTGGTACTTGGATTCATTGTTGAAGATGATGTTGTGATTTGTTCTGTTGGTGCTATTGTCACAGCTGGAAATCACAATATTAAATAAGTTATTGCACAGTCTTGTGACTATTTCCTAGTTATCATATATTTGATATCGACATCCAAAATCACAATTTATGACAATAAATGATCAGGAAGGATGAAACAACAAATTACATGAGGACCGACCTTTTGCTGAAATAGATGACGTGTTAACTGAGAGGTTAAAAGTTGGGCTTGCAACAGCTTCTGTCAAAGTTGCAACTGCAGAGCTGATATTTGGTAATGTGCTGACATTATTGAATATCAGCTCAGCATCAACCACAATGGATCCTTGACTGTAAAGGAAAAATGTAGTGATTTTCTGTGCTTTCATTTTATTTGTCAATTCTTTATCACTGATTAGCCTTACATCAAGAAGGCAAGAATGAACTTATTAAATCTATTGTTAAAAATAAAAAGTAAATGGTTAGTTGTCTGGATGCATGCTCAATCATCCAGTATAGTAAAAAAGTTGAATCTTTTCATCTGGACATAAGTTTTCATTGGGAGAAATGTTTTGTCACTGTTCCAAGTGAATTCTTCAGTCTCAGTTGATTGCAGGTTTCTGCAGCCATATAAACAGTACCTTTGCACAACAACTGAAACTAGTCAACTTACCTCACAATGGTCTGTGAGGTCAGTTCCTTGATCATTAAATGGTTAGTAGCTAATAAATGTTTAGTTTTAGAAAGTAATCTTAAGCTGTGTTTCTTACCTGAAACTATTGATGACAGTTTGTTTGAAGCTAGATCCAAATTTTTTACTATAGACGCTGTTGAGCTAGGAATAAATTGTTTTGAAAGATATATAAATACATATCATAAAAAATGAAATTTCAAATATTTTAAAATCAAGTTCATATAAGTCATATCACAAAGATTTCATACATTTTATGTTTCATGTATACGTTCCCTTGCTCATCATAAAATTCTTAGTTATTTGGAGTAACCAGCTAGAATTGTATTTATTCATATTTTTATATATCTATTGTTTAAGTACATTCAGATCAAAAGAACAAAGACGTTTAGATAAGTAGACTTTTTGGGAAGGTTAAAAAAAATTCCAAGAACTCACCTGTTCAGTCACTTTTGATTCTAACTGTTTAAAGGCTGGTGAGCTTTTGTTTGCAAGTTCTGGTGAAAAGGTTTCCTGCAGCTTAAATCCTAAATTGATTTTAGGTGCTTGTGCTGGCGCGGCAGTTGTAGTTGTGGTTGGAGCTGCAGCTTTAGTTGTAGTGCTAAAAAAGGTGACATTTGAAAGTATGGATGTTCCTTGCGAAGTTAGGTCTGGAGATAATGGCTTGACTGTTGGTGAGGTCATGCTGGGTGTACTGAGTGACGCTGCGGTCATGTTGACTGGTTCTGTGGATGGGTAAAGTAATGTTAAGGTCATATCAACTTGTTCTATGGTTTAATGTTGTTGACAACATGTTCACAGGCAAGGTTGTGTTTATTGTTATTGAGGTAGTGCTAAGTCGCATAGAGGTCATCTTGACGAGACTGGGTTAAGTGGTATTGAGGACAGTTGATCTGTTGTTAAATTGTGTTGAGTGGTGATAAAGTAATGCTGACTGGTGTTGTTGGTGAGAGTGGTGCTGAGGTGATGTTACCTGGTAGGGTTGCATTTAGATGCACTGAGGTCATGCTGACTAGTTTTGTGGGTGGTGCTGATGTCACTATACCCGGTGAAGTATGTGGAATTGTGGTCATGTTGACTTGAGGTGAGGTTGCATTGAGAGACGGTGGTAAGGGTGGTGCTGATGTCACGTTTTTTGGTGAGGTTGCATTGAGTGGCGGAGAGGTCATGATGCCTGGTGTTGTCTGTGAGGGTGTTGCTGACGTCACGTTACCCGATGAAGTTGGGTTAACTGGTAATGAGGCCATGTTCGTGTTGACTGTTGCTGTTGGTGAGGGTGGTGCTGATGTGATGTTTTCTGTTGAGGGACAGCAACTTTTATTACTCCGGTGTTTACAATATCTGCTCATCATGATCTTTGCTTAAAATAAAATAATGACACTGAATACAGAGGCATAATTTAGACACGAATAAAAGCATTTTAGACAAAGGAATATATACTGCAGTTCATTTTCATTTTGATTTTGTTCTAAAGTCCACTACTTAAAATCTTTTTAGTGGATTATGGAACATAATAAATTAACTGTCATTCATATATTGAATGCGCACGATTTGTATTAGATTATCTGAAGATGATGTTGTGGTGGGTTGTAATGAGGTTATGTTTGAGTTTATTGGTGCTGAGGTTCCAAAAACTGTTGGTGGAGTTGTACCTTCTGGTGGTGAGGTTGCACTGCTTGGTACTGATGTAATGTTTACCAGAGATGCGACTGTGTTAAATAAAAGGTAATTATTGTAAAAAGAAAAGGCATTGGTGAGGTTGCATTTCCCATTGAGACTGGGTTGATTGGTGGTGAGGTTAAATGAAAAAGAAGTTATAAGGCAGTAAAAGCATGATTAACTGTAGATGAGCTTGTGGTGTTTGATGATTATAAAGATGAGTTTAGTGGTGGTAGGATTTCGTTTGAGGTTGCATTGCTTGGTACTGATGTTATGTTGATGTCTGATGGGCTTGTGCTAACTGAAAATAGAAGTGTTAGTGGGTTTGGGTTAATAGAATGGGAGTCCCCCATGCCCACATGTTCTTCCACCTCAGCTGTTCAGTATTTTACTCATTGAATACAGTAAAATGCTGACATAGTTGTGCATTAAAAAGAACACTGTCTAGCATGTACATTAGTTTCATTACACTAAAGTTTCTTTAGTTACGTCAAATTGTGGTGGGGGGTGGAGGGATGTCGAACAGAGGAATGGGAGTGAGGGGTGGGGAAATCTTTTAGCCCATTCAGCTCTAGGCTCCTTCAGCTTCTGTTTTTGTTACCTGTTGTTGAATTGTCAGTAGATGCTGCTCCCACTAGTCCTGTAGAATATTAATTGGATTATTATTCTTATCTGAATTTAGGCAAAAAGCAAAATTATACAAATTCAGTCTATACTTTCATATATTTTAAATATAAATTGCTATTAGCATCATCGCTCTATTTGCACTGTCTCAAAATCTCTCACACACACACATACGTGCAAACACATGAAACCACAAATATCAAGAGAGTGAAATGACAGAAAGATACAACCCAAGAAATACCTGCTAATAGGAGGAGGAATGTAAGAGGTTCCATCCTCCCTCTGCCTGGTTCCTGTAAAACACAACCCTCCATAAATATATTTGTAGTTTTTTGTTTGTTTGTTTGTTTGTTTGTTTTGTGTTGTTTAAATTTTCCCAAAGAAGTAAAATTTGCACTTACAAAAATGTATGAACAAAACAAAGTGACTTTTTACTTGTTGACTCTGGTTCAGTTTTCTATTCTATGTCTCCGTTTGGCAGTAGTTTTCATTCACTCATAACAGGTGTGGAAAAGAGTTACAAAACTGCTACAATATGAATAAACTAAAATTACAGAGGACATGTTTGAGAAATACTTTTTCTTTTCATCTGAAATATTTATACTTATATATTACTAAGAAATAATCAAATTAAGAACTGTGGTCTCAGGCATATGGTGTGACAGCATGTATAATGAAATTGAATAAATAATAACAAAATATGAATCTTCTCTCGTGTGTTCTGTGATCAAAATTCTTACTATTTGTCATTTTCTGACATTAAAACTATATATATCATGAATTTATAATCATGTAATTCCATCTTTCTAGTCTATCAGACTGTTTGCAATTAGAAGCCATTTAAGTATTTAATAAATATCAGTATGTATTTGTTAAGTTGAGCTTTTTTCTTTACTTGGAATTCTTTGAAATTCCAAAGAGCAAAGGTACAAGAACTTTTTTTTCATATTCACTGTACATTCAGCTGTCAGTGCAGAGTGGCCACACCTTGACAAGCTAAGCAGGGCAATCTATTATTCAAAATACAAAGAACCACTCAATTACACATTCAGCATACAACTTTTTTGGCTTTAAAAGTGAACCAATTCATTGTTGGCCGGCATTTTCTTGTTATTTAACAGTCTAATGTGAAATGAACAATGGCATTCAAAAATGCATTTGATTAATTTGAGAAAAATACCTGAATGTGAACAGGAAAAACTAACATTGTGAGAAACTTTCAGAAAACAGTAATCCAAATTTAGAAATGTGATGATGAAAACTCCCAATTTAATTAAGAATGTATGAATCTACAGCTTATTAATAGACTTCTCAAAGCTTATAAAATCAATTAGAACATACAAAACTTTTACCTTTTTGGTGTAAACTAATTATGCATTCATTGTATTTTTAACATGTATTTGTGTATCAGAATTGACTGTGCAGCAGCATTTTAGTTAGTGATAAAAAAATTTTTATTCTTTCTGAATCTAATTCAAATGACTGTCATATGAAAAATATATTTATAACCAGTAAGAAGTCTGGTCTCAGCCCTATGTTACAGCTTTTACACTCAACACAGTGTTAGTGACATCATGAATAATAAACATACATATATAATAAAAGCCTTCTCTCACGTACTTTATTGTCTGTGAAGGTTCTCAGTCATCCAGGTCATCATAGTCAAAGGAGCTTGCAAAGAAAAGCGTCTGGACTTCTTTAAGTTGCTTGAAGACGTTTCACCTCTCATCCGAGAAGCTTCTTCAGTTCTAAGGTCAAATGGTGGAGAGTCCCAGATATAAACCTAGTGGGAGTTTCCCCCCACAGAGGGACAAAAGGACCCCCTGATGATCCTCTAATCGCCTGAGCCAAGGTGTGAAGCTGGGTGTGGGTCCCAATCAGCCAGAGTTTTGGGTGAGCTCATTGTGAAACCTGGCCCCACCTTATCATGCGAATTCCTGAGGTCAGATGGCCCAGGATGTGAGTGGGCATTAAGGCGTCTGGGAAGGGATCTCAAAACTGGATTATAGATGGCAGAGAGTTGGTGTCGTAAACCCCCGCCTCTGTTCAAAGATGGTCGCTCACAGTGGACATAGATGGCTTCTTTCACTCCTCTTTCAAACCATCTGTCCTCTCTGTCCAAAATGTGAACATTGGCATCCTTCTGGGACTCTCCACCATTTGACCTTAGAACTGAAGAAGCTTCTCGGATGAGAGGTGAAACGTCTTCAAGCAACTTAAAGAAGTCCAGACGCTTTTCTTTGCAAGCTCCTTTGACCACGTACTTTATTATTAAGACGCTGTCTGCTACTCTAGAACATAAAAAATGACTTAATCTGATTTATTAATAATAATATCATGCAATGTCTAAATGTTTTGTATATTATTGGTTTGATCATATTATGATCATTTAAGTCTTTAATAAATATAAATGTGTGTTTGTTAAATATGTTTTTGTTTAAACAAGGATTAAACACACGCAAAAGTACAAAAACATTTTCTCGTATTTGTTATACAGAGCTGTCAGTGCAGAATGATGACACCTTGACAAGAAATTAGATGTTGGTGGTGTAAATTAATTTCTTATTAATTATAATTTTAAATATTTACTTGTGTTAATATCGGAATTTAAAAAATAAAAAAAAATAAAAATTTCTCTTACCTCTTGGGAGTCTAACTGTGCAGCAGTATTCTTTTAGTCAGTATTAACCGCACCCTGAATGGTAGGCTAACTAGGCAACAGACTCCTTACCAGCTGGAGTCCAAATAAGTAACTGAAGACTTGTGCCTTTGGTTATTTGTAAGTGAAGCAAGAAATTCTTGCTTTTTCAAAGTGTGACATAACTAGCTGGACTTGTTTTGTTCATCATTTTCTAAGCAAAGAGAATGTTGAAAGTCTTAAGGTGCAATCACAATGCCAAGCCCATTCTTTCAGTTTCACACTTTCATACATTTCAAAATCTTGTCATGAGTAGTGCTGCAAGGACTACTGATTAAATTGTATCATTAGTACTTGCAATAAACACTGCTCTGGGTTTGAGTTGTCTTTAAACAAACTATGGTTAAACAACCTGTCAAATTTTTTTTTTAAAGTTCAATCTGTGTCATTTACATAAAATATCAGCAAAACCTAAAGTCACTTTCAGAAAAAGTCTGATCAGTGAAACTAGTGCTTTTAGTATTCTCTCTGAGCAATGACACTTAGTAACTTTTATCTTTTATTTTTCTATCTTACTTATAAAATTTGTGTTAAAATAAAAAAAAAAACCTGTCAAAAAGACTACTTTCTTTCATTCTTTGAGCTTACAAACAATATGCAATTTCCGATATCCACAATAAACCAAATTATTATTCACTGTATAAACCAATGATTGTAGAAAAGAACTTTTCTGCAATCATTGGTACAAACACAAGTATTTGCAAATAGAACTGGTTGCTTAACAGTGTGAATTTCTTTTTTTCATCTGTTTATTGTTTTTGTTACAGCTTAGGAATAATGCACTGCCGTTATATTTTGTGGTGTCTGAATTCAGAGATGTGTAACAGTGAACATTTTAAGTCTATATTTTGAGATATTTTGATTACATTTACAATGAAGCTTAATACACACTTGGACCTTGTTTTATCAGTCATACACAAAAAGTTGAAATGCAGAAAGTGTGATCACACGGATTCATCTGAAATCTTAAAACTAAATAAATTATGAATCCATCATAAGCCTCGCACCTAGGTCTGTGTATTTCAGGTGTGTGAAATAAATTAAAATAAAAGTGTAAAGCCTCCATATGTAAACATTTGGATCTTGTCTACCATTCTGCCCTCTGCCCTTTATTATTGGCCATTATTTTAGTACTCATCACTGCCTTTTATTTGAGTAAGTCTCTCATAAGGTTCTCATTTGGAACCTTCCTATTTGCATACATTTTATGCTGGTCTGGTGCGGAGTCATATCAGTTGTTCTGATGCCTGGCTTTCACTGCACATTTGTACTTAGCTGGCTGAACTGCTTTTAGTTCTCTATACACTAACAATTAATTATCTGGTAACTTTTGTCTATATCTTAGTGTTTGTCTCTTTCATGTGTATTATGTATACTCAGTTAACCCTATTTTGTATTCTTTAGTTAATTGAGTGTCTTTCCTTGAGATGTACAATACAGTATGTGGTTTTTAAAGGCATAAGAACTGCTGGATAAGATTTTTACTGCAGTCCTAGTTTTGATTGCCAAGTTTACACCTTAGAAGCAGGATGTTGACAGTATTTCTACTGGAATATTTAGTCTTGGTATTTTTCTAGAATGTGTTGTCGGTACTTTGGGTGTGTGTGTTAACACTAAGAGCAAGTTTGACTACATTACACTGTAATCCCAGTTACTGGCAAAGGCAAAAAGAAAAACAAAAGAACATTTCTGACTGTTCCGGCAGAGTAATTATAAAAACTGCACAGACTAGGCAGAGAAAACAAAATGCAATGCAGAAAAGGATAATAACTAGGGCGACCAACCGTCTTCTTTTCCCCAGACATGTCCTCTTTTCACGGTCTGTCTGGGGCGTCTGGGGGGATTTTCGAGATTGATAAAAATGTCCAGGTTTTCCTATAGGGCTTTGGAGTTGACGTCACGCCGCAATGTGTTGTGGGAGCGCGGCGCCATTTTCCGGGTCCACAAATCAAAACAAACACACTGTGTTGGAACGACGACAACAAGAAACATGCTTAAAAGCAGCTGAAAAGAAAACGGACGGTATAGAGACCGATTGCGTCCAGAGGCGAAGCGGCGGCACTTGCAGAAAATTGCGTGCATTGGAAATGTGGACCTGTATGAAATACGGCCGTGGAGTAGAAACCCTGAAGACCAACCGCTATTGACGTAGCCTGATATACAGGGTGGGCCATTTATATGGATACACCGTAAGAATAAAGTTATGTTGAAACCAAGCACACCATTGTTTTTCTTGTGACATTACCAATAAGTTTGATGTGTCACATGGCCCTCTTCCTATTGAAAAAACAAAAGTTGTATCCAAGATGGCCGACTTCTAAATGGCCACCACGGTCACCACCCATCTTGAGGAGTTTGCCCCCTCACATATACTACTGTGCCACAAACAGGACTTTAATATCACCAACCATTCCCATGTTATTACAGTGTATCCATATAAATGGCCCACCCTGTATTTTCGTACCTTGTCTGTGGAGTCAGCGCGTACAAGTCGTCAATCAAACAAAGGTAAGTCAGCTCAAGTACTGCGAGTAAAATGCGTTTGATTTCCCTCCGAACATTCAAATTAGTGCAGTATAAATTCATTCATGAGGGGGAAATTACAGTGAGAACATGTGGAGGCTCTGTAAGAGGGATAACATAGTGAGTTCAGTGCATTGATGTGACATTGTCCTGAAGGATTTAGTCATTCTCTATGGTTAAAGAAATTTATTCATATTTATTATAAATAATTCTAATTATACATCTTGCTTCCACGTTTGTATCCTGTGTCACTAAAAATACATTTTATTTTAATTTTATACATTGCAGAATCTCCTTATCATATTAAGTGATTCATAATTGTCCCTTTATGCTTGTCTGTGTGTGTTTCAGGTACTGCACTCTCAAAGACTGAATGAACCAGCCCAGCATTGCAGCCATGGGTCACTGTGAGCATCACAGGAAAGGTTGAAGCCGCCCACTGCACCTGTAAGGCCGGAGTCGCAGAGACCTGCAGCCATGTCACTGCTCTTCTGTTTAATGTAGAAGCAACAGTGTTGATCGTGGCACAAGGACTGTTACAGATGAACCTGCATACTGGGTTTTGCCTGGCAATATGACCAAGATACAGCCAGAGGTTGGCCATAAGATAGACTTCTCCTCTTCAGCTGCCCCCCAAAAAAGGCTCTCAATCAAAACATAAACAGACCATCCGTACTGAAAGGTAAAAGGAGCCGTCCTCAAAAAAGAAAAATCCCACCTACTACTGTGGAGGAGTTGGCACCACTATTGGATACTTTGCTGGAACACAGTAAAGCTGTGGGTTGTGGGAATGACCCATAATGTTTTATCTAGATTTATGCCTGAAGTGCACTGCCATGTAAATAATTTGCATTTACTGTACTAAAAATGTCTGGAGCACACCAAAAGATATTTGGAGATGGAAGAGAACTGGATATCAGCTCGTCTCACAGCTGCTATCCAGGCTAGACGCCTTCGTTTGGTAACATCCGATACATGAGCTCCCTCATGTTGCTTCCAGGTGGGGAAAGAATGAAAAGACAAACCCTTTTTAAGCTTATTCTCTTGCCGGTCGTGCGATCGAACATTGCAGCGGACCGCACAGCAAGAACGAACCATGGCTGTTGTGTGTGCCTTCGCTCCTTTTTCGCTTGCACTTTGGTTGGACCCAGAAAATGGCGCATCAGGCCAAAATCCTTTCCACGCCCACCCCCGTGACATCACGCTCCAAAGACCTATATTCTGACAGAGGACCCATGTGTGTGACGTCATCCCCAAACTGCTGCTTTGTGAGCGCTTGTTCTGCACTCACAGACAGGACAGGCAGCGCGCAGCAACGCGCCTAATGATGTTTAAAAGATCCCAAAGTGCAAGTCCATCTTTCAGAGGAAAGAAATTTACCTCGTACTGACCGTATATGGGCTGATGGTGATTTTTCGTTTTTATGGGCCGATGTTTTATTTTTTTGGTAACGGTATAAACAATGAAAGGTGGTGGATTGGCCAGATGCTGGCCAATGTGTAAAAATAACTCAGTTGTTTGGTGGTGGTTGTGGCGGAGCTTCCACAGAGGCCAGCAAATGGATGAAAGAAAGGGGAGGCAGGAGGAGGAGAGACCCGAGGCGGCCACCTGTCCAAGTGTCAGGTGAACTGAACTTCAGGTAAGAAGTTATGACCTGCAGTCTATCTGGGTCAGATATAAACCAAGTTTAGGTGTAGTTTATTTTCGTTATGCTGACTTTTTACAGTCAGTTACAATAACTCGTACTGCGTACTAGCTAGCATGATGGAGTTTCTACAGCTGGGTGGGTGCTATGATGTTACTGATGTTGAACTTTATTCATAAAGTTAGTTAGTAGAGTTGCCAACTGTCCGTAAAAAACGGAATCGTCCCGTATTCAGAGAAGTTATTACGCATTTTGTATTGAGGTGAAAAGGAACAGTTTGTCCCGTGCTTCAGCTAGAATGGAAAAAGACACAAAGCTGGAGTTATTCTGTGTCTTTACGCTGCACAGCTGCCTCTTCTTCTCTCATTCTCTCCCCCTCCCTCTTCTGTTGCTACTTCAATCATGAAACTGATCAATGATCAGCTGATCGGCTTTTCTGTCACAAGTCCTGTCTCTCTTGTTTTGTTTATCTCCCACTTTGCGCAAGAAACAGGAAACCAGCAGATGCCTTGCTAAACAACAGCAGCACGTTTAAGCTTGGTCAGCTGTTGTTAGAACTTATTTAATATTACTTTCTAGTATCAGCTGATGTTTTCTGGAGCCACAGCTGTAAAAGCTGCTGGTCATGATATTGATTTGGATATGTGATGATGCGAGGGAAACATGAAGATGAAACCAGGAGATGTCCTTACTGAATGATCAGAGCTGAACAGGTGATGGAAAAACAGGTTTACCTTTGAGGTGACATGAATGAGTTGAAGGGAAGTTATGAACTGTTTCTGAGAGACAAATAACACCAGGATCCTTTTCTATTTAGCTGAAAGCTGGTAACTATGCAGGGGTGGCTCTAGCAAAGCTTTGCCAGGGGACCAGGTAGG